AGGTTATAATGGTTAGTTTTAAAAACTGATTTTAGGGTATATAAAAACAATATGCTTTGATCTCTTAACAATAATTTAACCATCAGATTTATCCATCTCTGTCACCTGAATACGATGTCTTTACATTTAGCCAGCTAAGTTAACTCACACTTTCTTCACTTACCTCTCAGTTTGTATATTTTCTTCTTGTTTTGCCACATCTTCAACTCTGTTATCCGGAGCATCATTGTTGTCCCAAATCAGAATTATTCTGGATATTTCACATAAACTTTTTTTTAAGACAGTAGTATCAGAATGAATGTAAAATCTTCTTTCTTTCTTAGACTCATGCATCTAAATTTTTCATGTAGATTTTAAAATCACAGGTACAGAAGTGGTCATTGTAGAAGGGTTTCAGAGAGCGTTTTAGTGTCTCTTGAATTCCACAAAGATTATAAAAGAAAGTTATGACTTACATGAATACTACATGTTCTAGTGTGCTGGAGTAAAATGTTAATATATTTCTTTATTGTATATACTTTTTACATTATTCTTCATTTTGTACATTTTTTTTTCATCTCAGTTGTAATCCCCATGGACTTCCCACCACCACTTCATCCATGTACCATCACCATAGTTCCTTGTGCTCTTCCCATTCTCATTACAATGATAATTTTCCTATAATACTACTTAGTATTTGTAACCCAGAATTTTAATAAAAGGTTCCTCTATTTATGAGTGAAATTAAAAAGCTATGAATCATTTTTTAATAGATATGAATGAAGAAGATTCACTTGAATTTTGAGGTTAAAAGTAAAAAATATATTGGCAGTCTGCACATAGTGATAAGAATATTTGCATTGCCTTCACAAAGAAAATTGTTGATTTTCCTTTAGATTATATATTGCTTTCTGAGTAACAGGACAAGGTCTACATTGCTACAAACATCTCCGTGTCTACTTCATGTAATGTGCTTCCAGAATCCCTATCTACCTGTCATAACTTCAAAATATGAGCAGGGGAATTTGGAAATGTAAATGCAATGTTGTTATTTGGGAGTATTTATCTATTGAAGTATTTTTCTTTTAGTAACATTCATTTTTGGAAACATGAAACTTAGAAAATAATGGCAGTGTTCTATTACGTTACTGATTTGGAATATTAAAGCAAATCTACATAGTATAAAAAACGAGAAAACATAATTGCATATACTGACTCCATACCCCCTACTGAAACGGACCTAATTAAGTTGAAGGGTGGTCTTTGCTCACATTTGAAAATATGCTATTTGTTGGTAAAAGCATATTTTTAGAATCTGGTGTAGAGTTGGATTTGAATCCCCAACTCTTTCCCAACTCTTCTGATGAGCCACAGTAACTGTTACCCTCAGTTTGTTCTTCATTGAAATGGTTGTTGCACCTATTTCCTAGGTTGATGTGAAAATGAGTTGAGAACAGCATAGACCCCAATCCTCACAGATTGTTTTTTTCCCTCTATCACCATGTCCAACTTTTCAATTGTTTTATTTCATGGGAGCGAATAACATGTAAGTTAGTAATCCTGCTGAGTTAAGATTGTTTAGATGTTTTTGTTAAAGGAGCTAAGAAGGAGCAAAATCTGCCAGGAAATCACCTAGTCATTTTATATATGATTTGTACTTTGTTGTGCATTCATGCAGTTCAGAAAAAGTCACAAAGGCTTAGCAAGCTATATTCACATTGGAATAGGAAAGCACATGAATTAATAACTTTAGATGGTAATAAAAAGCAATTAAATAACTTGGTAAAAGTAAATTCATAGGAGACTATTTTGAATGCCGTAACATGCATCAGAGATTCTGATTTAGTAAATCTATCATGGACCCAATGGATCTGGGGTCATTTTGATCTCTGAAGTAACTCTGAGGATATGGTACATGGCAAAAAAGTTTAAACCAATAGATAAATATCAACTGTCTACCCATTTATGTTAGCTTAATCAGAAAATTGAATTCAGTAAGTAAATCTTATTGAAAAAAATTATCCCACAGTGTTTATAAACTACTCAATATCTAGTCAGTTTTTCATTTCATATAAGCTGAGACAAAGTGACATTATAGAACCTTCAAAGCCACACAGTTTAAGTGTATATTATAGTCCATAAGGTAGATGAAAGTCAGTTTACAAAAGATAAATTTGTGGATATTTCCTATTAGCAAACAACAAGTATTTGCCTCAAGGACCATGTAATATAAGGTTTCTTGTTGCATTTGAAATATTACTTGGTTATAAAACAACTAAATTTCGCTTAGTTTTTTCAAGACACATGTCATATAAAAATCTATAAATGTTTGGAAGAGAGGAGGGGAAAAAAAAAAAAAAAAACTTGAGTTCTCTCAAACCTAGATGGTTGAAACCCTCTATTGCTTTAAGATCACTGCCCTTAACAGAAAGGCAAGTAATCAACTGTATCTTCATTTAAACCTGGATTTTACACTAACTGAAAAATGCTCAATATAAGCAGCTTCTTATCTCATAATAAAATTACAATGCAAATCGAAGATACATTTAACATAATCATTTAACACTTCAATGTTTAGATATTTCTTTACAATTTCATATGATAATAAAATAAAAACACAATTGCTAATTGTCAGTCTGATTTACCCTTGCAGGTATGGCAGGTATGTCAAAGTTATGAAAGCATTAATCCAGGGTCACCCGTCCTCTGTACCTCTTACAGAAAAACCAGTTTATAGGATTCTTACTGCATAACCATCCCAGCTGGACCTTGGGATTTTACACATTTTATGCCTTAAGAAGTTGTTACACTGTTTCCCAGAGTGATACACTGTTGAGAACTATACCTTTGCAAGATACTCCTTTAGAGGTTTCTCACCTTCTTCCTGAGGCCAAATCACCTCTCCTTTCTTTGTGCTGCTACGGACCCATCACAGCTATTTTCTTTCTTCCAGTTTACTAGAAGCTTATATTCTTATGCTTTCAGTTTCTTTAGTTATTTGAATGTTTGGCTTGACAGGTGATGTCTTTCAGTCAGGAACAAATGAAAATACATATTTTAGACAATGGTTTTATTTTAGACTATAATTTTGCAGAATATTATTATTATTTCTAATTGTTCTGTGATGTCAGATTCATCTGATTTCAAGTCAGGATTATGCCATTTCTCTTTAAGGTTAGATTTGGGTAAATTTCCATTTCTTATGTATTTTGTAATGTGAGCTTATAATTTACATTAATTAATTTTCATTTCTTATGTAATTATAATTTACGTTATAAAACCTGTATAATTTTATAGTTTTCTTGAACACTCACAAGGGAATAAGGATAAAGGTGGCAAGGAACTGGTCAGTAAAATATTTGCCCATTACTGATTGTTTTAGCATCTATGTATTAGTTTGGATAAATTGTATTTTATCTTTATGAGGAGAATAGAGAAAATTATTCTCTATTATGACAATTATAAGAATTGATGGTATAAGAAATATCCTTGTTAAAACATATAAAAATAAAAAAAAATTACAAGCTCCTTCTTTAAATTAGCTATGAACATGTATTCAGTTGCATATGTGCTGTGCACACGTAGATGGATGTTGTAACTAACCATACACTTTTGATTTTGGTGATTTTTGGTTTCTTTCCTTGTGTGTCTGGATTTTATATCTGCACCTTGCACTTCATTCAGACTCTTCTTGGGTGCAGTTGTTTTGCACTTTTACAAATGATCTGATTCGCTGTAAAGTACAAGGCTTGCTATCAATTTTTTGAGCAAGGAGTTTAATGTGGGAGTCCAGAATAGTACTCAGAAAGAGTTACTTTAATATACATATTATGCAGATAGAGGGGCTGAGATAAATTAGAAGTTACTAAATAATACAGCACCCATTTATTTATTTTTTAAATAATTTTCACTATCTCTGGTCATTCTCAGGTTCCAATGAGATAAATATTTTAGTGTGCTGGGATGTCTATCAGTGCCTGAATTTTGAGACTGATTCAACTTGACCAGTTATTAGTCTTGTGTTTTTAGGTGGGTCCTAACTTCTTTGAGGTTGTGTCTTCATCAGGTGGTTATGAAAGATAAAATAATTTATGTAAAATGTGATTTGTCAATCTCAAAACACTGCATAACTTTATTTTGTTGCAGCAGCTGCTGTTATTTTAACCACACTGGGTTAAATTCTGTACTTTTCAACTTCAAATACAAACATTTCAGTTGTATAAATAGTTGAGGAATAGACAGAAAGGGAGATATAGGGGTTGGGTGGTTAGAAAGAAGGAGTGGGAAGTTATAGATGCTGAAAAAAGATAGGTTAGAAATAAGGATTGTTGACACAGATATATAGATTGTAAATGTGTGATTCAAAACTCAGGAACAATTATCTCTAGCAGGTTTTCACTCCCTACCCACCTCCCTCCTTCCCTGGACATGGCAGAATCAAATTAAGCAAACCAATAACCAGCATCATCTTTTTTTTCTTATTCAAGATCCTTTGGGTTTAATTTCAAATATGAGAAATCTTAAAATTCATAGTCTTTTTGGCTTTTACTGTAGTAAGTTCTCAAGTTGCATAGAGCTGCGGTTCCATGGTGACTGTGCATCTATTTATAGTTGTTCACTTTAGATGAACTTAAAATGGTTAAGAAAAAAAGTGACTTGCTTCAGGAAATCAAGGGCATGTACTTGTGAGCGTCCCTGGAGCCTGAAAATTTCTAAGTCATTTATCAATTTGAAAATATCTGGAACTAGGTATAAAAGTGCTTATTTGTACAAATTAAAAGATGTTTGAATCTTTGCAAGGACAAATTCTAATGAGAAGACTTACAAATAAAATTTTGGCTTACATAATATGTAAAATGTGTCGACTCATTTCAGGCCCACAAATAATAGATTTATAATTAACCCTCTATAATTTGCTAATGGTGCTAAGCAAAATAGTAGAGGATTAAGGATACTGATAATACATTACAAAGAAATTAGAAAAATATTAAAATTAAACTTAAATTGAAAAAAATTGTCATAGTAAATAATTTATGCAAAATGTTACAAAATCTGGGATGCTAAATAGCTAATATAAGTACTGTGACATTTAGCTTAATTTAAATCAGCAATAGTTTGTGCCCACCAAAATTTTGCGTGTTTTTCTTCCTTTGTATATTTTGAATAAAAATATGGTCTACATTTTTAATGTTCATTCTTCTTGAAATTGCTCTTAAATCTGCCATAGTAATGTCTGCATAAAAATAGATTTTTTGTAGTATAATTTCTCTGGAAAAATGAAAAGTTAGAAGTTTGACATTGGCTTTCACAAATTCTTTTTTTCATTGTGTTGCCTATTAGATAGACATATTTTCAACGTGTTCATAACGGCAGGAATATTAAATAACAACATAAAAAGTACTGCTGGTGCAACAGAAATTGAAACATAGGTTTATATTAAAAAACACACAAAAGATTGTGTGAATACCGCTGATAACAATATTTTCAAACAATAACCTGGATCAAACAAACAAGAAGTTATTTACTTCAGCCTCTGAGATGTCAGGTTTTTATCATTTGATTTGAATTTACTTTAGAATACATTCACATAACATATGATCTGGGGTGGTTTCAGAAGTATTCTGGGTAATTTTTATTTTTTTTGGATAATTTGGAGGCAAATCATATTATGGATGGAAAAATTAAACAAATGAAGATGTTTGCAATCTACTTGAGTGATAAATCTCATCACCATCGCTCATATTTATATTGAATGAGCTGTAGATATTTCAAGTTCTCCCCCAGGAGCCAAAATTAATGTAGCACACAAAGCGAAAATTTTTAGATATTTCCTTTGAGATCGTCCCAAAATATAGTCTCACAGTTCTACGTGAGACTTTGTCTGTATAACCAGGTACATTTTGCACTGACTGATAGTTATTTTTAGGTAAACCGCTTTGGGTTAATTAGGAGAAAAATTGCTACTGTACAGTTAGAATGCTCTATCCTCCCACCTTGGCCTGAAAATAATGAGATGTAACAAAAGTTTTTCTTTGTCACTGGCAGCTGTACCTTTTAAGTGTATTAAAGTCTGTTGCTGTGGTTACTGCCTTTGTTTCTAGTGATGCTTTGTCCATGCTTCCTCCAACCCTTAACAATGAGTTACTCAAAAGAATGAAATAATGAGTCATTCATTCAGAAATATGTTGTTAAAACATCCCTCTTTATCATTACATTTCACTGCTTAGAAACTAGGCTGTAATTCAAGGCAACAGTTAAGTCTGAGAAGTGTTAAAAAAAAATCTTTGATTTTTTTTTTTCATTTATAAGAAAAAACCTGTCTATGTAATTGAAGAACTTCTTACAAGTCTCAACAATTAAACCCTTTTTGGTTAATGTATTATTTCTGGAACAAGTAGATAAAATTCTACGCAGTAAGCATGATAAAAATCGTGCATGTTTTGCACAGCACAGAATTTTAGAGTCAAGGTTTCTGGGCACAAAAGCAGTAACAAAACAGTCCCTACAAAACTGAATAACTGAAGAACACAAGAAATCATTTTGTTAATTTAAAATTTTAGAAACTGAAATGTGTAAAGTTTGTAAAGTAAAATGTAATTAAATATGGTACTGTACATACCGGTTGTTCCTATAATTGAAACTTTACAATATGAAAAATACATTAGCTCTGTACAGTTTTTACAGGTAGGTAGGATGAGTTTGAGTTTTGAAAAAAAAGATTTCTTTTTCCTTTTCCAGGGTCATACTCTGTTTAAGTCAAAAAATACTGCACAACTTAGCTAATTACAAAGTGTAGACTTAAAACAATTCATGTCTTCTTTATTTCATGAATCAAATCTTGGATTTTTGTTTATTTAAACAGGGGATTTGTTTTGCTTTGCTTTGAGAGTCCACAATGAACAAATCTTCCTCATTTTGTCCTTGAGATTACAGTGTGGTGGCCACGCTGGGCTACCACTGAGCTCAGTCAAGCCAGCTGCTGTTTATGGTCACTGATTCGGCCAGCTGTTGTGATTGTGCTCAGGTCCAGCTCAGTCTCTAGATGTGTTTCCATCGTATCTTCCTGTGCATTCGTGTCAAAGGATTTATGAGAGAGGAGTTCATGATGCACCCCACAGTAACTTATTGTGGGCTGGTCGTATGCCAGAAAGGTCGACACATTCATTGATAAAGGTATCTGGGAAAAAAATGACATGAGAAAAGTCAGTTATAGACATACATTCATCTTTTAGGCAAGATTTGGTTACTGCTCAGTGCTGAACTGAATAAGCTCTACCTTCGCGTCAGTCACTCCTGTGTTTCTGTCATTGTTCTGATGCCCTTCATTCTCATACTAGTAAGCATGAAGCAACAATTTTACAGCCTGAAAAGAAGCAGCTCAATCCTTAGGTTCTGAAAATGCTAGTTTATTTTGGAAAATGCTTTTCCTTCACTGTGTTGAAATTGCGGTTTTAGAACTAGTAAAACTATTACTTGGTCCTGTATAAAATTGGAGTACAATAGAAGAATGGTTCTTAAATTTGATCTTGCATGAAATTCACCTCCCCTTCTTCAGCTCTAACTTCTGCTAGCCCCCCAACCCCATCATTTCTCATTCATTAAGTCCAAGGTGGGGCCTGGAATGTACATTTCTTACACATTTGTATATGATACTGGTGCTGTTGAAAATAATTGCCTAGGTGAGTCATTTTGACTCTTTTTACCTAATAACTTCTTAATGTTTATTTCACCATAAGAATCATTTGCAACATTATTGTCTGTAGCCTATTTTGTATATCTAAAAATTAGGACTCTAGAACTCCTAGGAAAAATCTATAGCCCTAAGGAAGTTTGAAGGAACCACTGACATATATGTGGAAGGGACTCCTTTGCTAATTGTGGCTTAGTGAAATTATGCAAGACCAAAAGAGCTGAAGAACAAAGCAAGAGTAGAGTGACCTTTAGGAGTAGACCTGAAACATGTTAGAGACAAAAGCAAAGCCTGAAATGTCGAAGCGTAGAGATTATTCCCATTTTTTTAAAATAAGATTACAACTTGTTCTACAAAGTAGATGATTGAGGAAACTTCAACTCTGATATTTGTTTAATATCTTAATTGGTGAGTCATATTTTTTTAAGATTTATTTATGCATACAGAACTGGGGTACAGGCCAGAGGTATAGGGGGCAGTGAAAGTATTCACCAGAGATAGAGTGGGAGCACAACAGGCCAAATGACCAAGAACACTGCCGAGGGGAGCAGTGGGTGGGTCCGGAGAGGTCTGCCACACCATATGGGTCACCTTCGGGGGCAGGATCAAACTCATGCTGAAGTGGCTTTAGCTTCATAGAGCTGTGCTTTAAGCTGTTGCACCCCCAGGGAGAGCCTAAATATTAATTCATTTTTTAAATTTTCCTAATTACTAATTCATTTATAAAATTTCCTTGGATAAAAACTTCTGCCAATCCTCTTTAGTGAGTGGATAAAATATATTCTGTTTGAGTGCATGAAATTAAATTGAGTACATGATCCTCAGCTGATATTAAAATCTCAAACTAAAATCAATAGAATGTCTCAGTTTTATTATTTTATCAACTCCTTTACTTTCTTTATTGCTTTTCTCCATGGGTATTCCCTCCTTTGCCTTTTCTCATTCTAGCCGTACAATTCTATCTATATTTGTTGTTTCCTAAATTGGTTGAACAGATATTTCTTACTCAATAGAAGTACTCAATCCTTTGAAGATTATTATTATTATTTTAAATGTTAATATTTCAGTGTATCAAATTTATAGGGCTTACACCTTAGAGAAATAAGTATAACCCAGTTTCTTATATTAAGATCCTGAGTAACTCTTCCTATGTATGTGGATTTTTTTCATTGGAAGGCATGCAGCTATTAGTGCTCATTTAAAATAGGAAGACCTTTTGTTACAGATGTAATAAGTTATATAACTTTCCTAAAGTAATTGTGCAGCATGAATAGATTTGACTTATAGGATAGAATGAAAATAGAACTATTACTATGTCCAGGAGTTTTACATTACTGTCTGGGAAATCCAAACTATGAGTCATATATCTGTAGGATTTTATTTATTCTTGTTATTTATCATTAAAAACTTCATAGCTTACTTGGAATTAACTCTACTGTGAATAATTTATAATATCTCTGGTCACAATTTATGAACTATAATAAATTGTGATTCGTCTATTCTATGTATGTGTGTGTTTGTACACACACTTTTCTGCTTGATGAGGTATATAAAGGCTGCTGGTACCCAGAGTGAAGTTTCTAATTTGAATCATATCAATTAAGTAGATAACTCTTGTTATTTATTAAAAATTCTTTAGAGAGGTTTTGGATATATCTTATTTTAAGACAGTGCTTATACTTTTTCAGTGAGGATGTGTAATGTGTACTTTCCCTTGCAATTGATGATGAGTCTTAAAGTTGATGACATCCTAATATAAAGAGCATAAAAGAATGATATATATCCATAGTAGAAGTGAACATCAGTGATATTGGCCTAGGCAACAACTTTCCAGTGCTTGACTGAATTTGAGGGATGTTTCTTTCATATATGAAAAATTTAAAAAGTTAGATGAATAAAAGTAACTTCTTAATTGCCTTTTTCCTATTCATAAGTGATATTTGCATTTTTGCTTTTGAAAAGAAACAATAACTTTCATTCTCAATTTGTGACTAAGTATAAATGGTCATTTTTTTAACTTTATGTTGACTTTATAAATAATATCTCCATTATCTTTACACAAATATGTTCTATATATGAACATGCATATACACTACTCATATCCTAATCAGTTGGTTCCAAATCATTTTAAGAGCTCTTCTGTTGGACAGCTCCAATCCTCAAAAAAGATGAAAATCCATTTTTAAAAGGAGGGTATAAAGACTGTTTTCCCTCTTGCCATTGTAAAGCACAGAAATTGTCATTATTTCTGAATAGATTTTAATTGCAAATATTTCTACTGATTATTTTTGAGCAGATTGCCCATGCTGTACCACATACTTTTTTTTCCTGTACCACATTTTATAAGGGCAATCCTCCATTCTTATAAGACCAAATGTTATCTAACTTTTTGTAACCATTGTGAAAGAATCAGACTGACGTGATTGACAAAAGAATTAATTTTTGAGATATAGCTTCTATCATTATCAAGGCATATTTTTCTTCAATTTAATTTGTAGTTAAGAGTCTTATTATGTTTTTTCTATTAGTGTTTTTCACTGACATACCCTTGAATTTTAAATGTTGGACCCTATAACTTTAAATGGCTTTCAGATGTGGAAATTATGAATCAACATCTGCATACATTAGGTTTACCACTAAAAGTCCAAATATATCCATTCCAGAGACTTATTATTTTACTTTTGCAAGTTATCTCTACCTAGTAACATATAACTAAGGAATAAATGTTACAATATTTATACAATTAGTAATATTGCTTTAATCTTTCTCTAAATTTGTCCCATACTGAGCTCAGCATCTCTGGATCCAAACCTACTCTTTTTTCCTGTGGTCTTGATTTTATTGTAGGGAACACATCAGTTAAGTCAGCTTCACCAATCTACTTTGACTCTTCTCTGTTCTTCCATATGTTCCATTATTTGCCAGTTACATTTTGATATCAGTGATATTTATCTTTCCCATGTACCTGCTTCTTCATTTATGTTACCATTCTCTTGTCTCAAAATGTCATTATCTTGCTTGATTGAATAATTGTATGTCTGGTCCTGCTATCCAGTAGAGTTGCAAATAAAACTAGACATTGTGAGTATATTTCTGAAGAAGATTAACTACATTTTTATTTAACTTAAAGTAAGAAATGTAGAAAACAGTAAATGCTTCTTTGGGTTTCTTTTTGGTCATATCTGAAGCATTGCTTTGCCTTTGGAAAACAGTAGAAGTTATAGTTCCTTGGAAATTAGTTTCCTTATATATTTTTCATATGCGCATACATGTATGTGTGTACATATCACACCACTGTCTTTAAAATTCTCAATTAAGAATCTTTAGGAATTCTGTAGTTGTCTCTCTGCCCAGTCATGTGAACAACTGCGGGCATTTGCTCCATCTCCTGGTTCACATATTCTTGAACATGAGTTTAATACTTTCCTCATTATCAAAACTATCATTCACTGAACAATTATCAGTTAGTTACCATGCTGGACACAGTGGTCTCATGTAAATCTCCAAGGCTGTTGAAGGTAAATATAATTGTTTTCACTTTGCAGTTGAGAAAACAAAAATTACAGTTTAAGTAATTAGTCTAAAATAATACCACTTAGCTGCCTATTTATCACTTATCTAACTTATGCAGGCTTTGGAGGCTAGAGAGCTAAACAAAATATAATGTGTCTGATACTGTTTGCATACCATTTCCCAATCTGGATCTTATTTCCAAAAGAGTGAACCCTATGATTTCCTATGCTAATCCATAGCTTAATAGCACTGCATTGCTCATTGGGTTCTCAGGAACAAACAAGCATACATACAGTTTATCAGGGATTCATGATCTGGGTAGATGATGACAGCTCCAAATCTGAGCTGCTTCTTATTAAAGTCATTTTGGCCAATACAATGGGTAAGGAAAATAATCTAATCTGAAGAACATTCTGGAAAGGGGAAGAAAGATATTTAACTGTGGGCACTCTATGCGCCCGTGCTATAGGATTTGTGAGGCGAACGTGATAATCACTACATTACGGAAACGCCACTGTGCTGTAGGATTTGAAAGGAACCCTCCTGCATGGCTTCCCTAAGACAATGACCCATATCAGGAAGTAGGCAGGCTCACCTATGTAGCTATTGACTGGTGGTGTGAGTGTGGTCTGAGGTGGTCTGGAAGTAGCTCAGAAATTATATCAAGTACCTGCACAGGAAGTCCACCCTGTGTATCTGGACAGGCCCTCTCCACTCCATAAAAAATGAGGGCCTTTTGTCTCACCTGCACCACCATGTACATGTACCTCCTCTCGTCATGTATTAGTCATGCTGTTCATTACTTCTAGACAGGGCATGATTGCTGCTTGTTGTATAACTGAGAACTTGCCTTGCAAATCTACCCTCTGACTGATCCTTTAGGGTATCCCAGGGGTACACTTGGCACATTCCCGACCCAACAGCTTATATATATATATATATATACTCTAGGATACAAACATGCATAAATTGCT